AACTAAGGCTGGTAGGTTCGAACCTGGCCCTGGGCCAGCTAAACAACAATGACAACTGCAACAAAAAATAGCCAGGCATTGTGGCAGGCACCTGTAGTCCCAGCTACGTGGGAGGCCGAGGCAAGAGAATTGCTTAAGCCCAAAGAGTCTGAGGTTGCTGTGAGCTGTGATGCCACAGCACTCTACCCAGGGTGACATAGTGAGACTCTGTCTCTAAAAAATAAAAAAGAATAATAAAGTTTGATTTCTTAGTTTCATATTTTCTTATGCTCTTGTGTTGCTAGTTAGTGCCATTTTCATTTCAAAATGAAGCACTTTAAAAAGGTAACTATATAAGAAAGAGAGATAGGGTACTGAATGTAACTAGTAATTATTTCACTGTGTGTGTCTATGAAAGCACCATGTTATTCAACGTAAGCATGTAATTTTTTTAAAAACCAAATAAATACAAAGTAAACTTTTAGCAATTAACATATAATACTTTTTTTTATTTTCAGTTTTTGGCCGGGGCTGGGTTAGAAGCCACCACCTCTGGCATGTGGGGCCAGCGCCCTACTCCTTTGAGCCACAGGCGCTGCCCAAAACATATAATACATTTTTAAAAATTTTTATGTTTTGCGACAGAGTCTCTTTCATTCTGAGTAGAGTGCTGTGGTGTCATAGTTGACAGCAACCTCAAACTCTTGGGCTTTAGCAGTCTTCTTGCCTCAGCCTCCTGAATAGGTGGGACTACAGGTTCCTGCCACAATGCCTAATTTTTATATTTGTAGTAGTGAAGGGATCTCACTGTTGTTCACCTGGTCTCCTGTGTTCCAGCAGTCCACCTGCCTGGGCCCCCCAGGATGCTAGGATACAGGTGTGAGCCCCTAGGCCCAGCCAATTATTAACTGTGGTACCCTGAAGTAGAGAATGAAATTATTTCTCCTGTGTCACTGAAACTTCGTACCTTTGACTGTGTACTGTGTATTTTTAAAAACAACAAATAGCTATAATGGTCAAAGAGCAAAGCATTACAGAGAAAGCTGGCTTTCTTTCCAGTTTTTAGTGGCCACTTTGGCTGAACGGAAGGCAGTGGGTTCTCCATCTGTGTCTTGGTTTTTGTCTGTGAGCTGTGCTGTTTCTATCCGATCCCACCAGCGTGAACTGGAGCCTCCCCATATGGGCGTGAAACGTGAAAAGGCAGGACCTTGTAGGACCCGTGAGAGGGTCTTGGCAGCAGCAGCCCAGGGAGGCTTAGACCATCCTTTGAGAATGACCCAGTGGGAGGTTGCATGGATCCTCCTAGCCTATCTCAAAAGCCTCCTGTGGGTTGTGTCATGCACACAGTGGGTGTGCAGACGTGGGTTGTACAGATGGTGGATTGCACGGAGAGTGCATTGTGCAGGTGGATGGTTGGGCAGAAGGTGCATTGCCCAGTGGTGGGCTGTGCACATGGTGCATTGAGCAGATTGCAGGTTGTGCAGACAGGGGGTTTCACAGACGGTGGGCTGTGCCTGGTGTGGGTTGCACCCATGGTACTTTGTGCAGCTAGTCGGATGCTGTCCTGTGGCTGCTGTGACCTGGTCACAGGAACCCCTCCTCCTGGGCACGGTTCATCACATGGGGCCCTCAGACTCGGCACTGGAGAGAGAAGGTGTACAGGGCAACCAACCTCTTACTGCCAGCGGCCTTGTTAAAAGGGATTTGGGGATTCCTGCTTTGAGAACAAAAATTTGCTCCAGGTGTTGGGACCCCTTTTGGCCTAACAGTAATAGTAACGATAATAATGGAATAAAAAAACAGCTGTAGCTGCCATGACCCCTTTTAGCCTAATAATAATAATGGAATAAAAAACTTATTCTAGGTACCAAGACCCTTTCCAGCAAAAAAAAAAAAAAAAATTAGACTTAAAAACTTGTTCTAGAAACTGGGACCCCTTTTAGGCAAATAATAATGATTATGGAATAAAAAATTTTATTTTAGGTGCTGGGAACCCTTTCAGCGAAATAATAACAGTGACAATAATAATCATGGAATAGAAAAGTTGTTCTAGGTGCTGGGACGCCTTTTAGCCTAATAATAATAATAATAATTATTATTATAGAATACATTTTTTTTTTTTTTGCAGTTTTTGGCTGGGGCTGGGTTTGAACCCACCGCCTGCAGTATATGGGGCCAGCACCCTACGCCTTTGACCCACAGGTGCCGCCCTGGAATAAAAAATTTATTCTAGGTGCTGAGACCTGTTTCAGCCAAATAACAACAACGATAATAATAATGGAATTAAAAAAAAATAGTTTTAAGCGCTGGGACCCCTTTCAGCCAAATAATAACAACAGTAATGATAATAGGATAGAAAAACTTGTCCTGGGTCCCAGGACCTCTTTCAGCTTAATAATAACCGTACTAGAGCTGAAAGCTTTTCCCAGCTGTCAGGATGTTTTTAAGCCAAGTAACAGTGATGCTGAGGACGCGTCGGTGTGGAGGCTGTGACACAGCCTGTTGGGTCACTCGGGCAGGATTTAAAAGGGGGGTATTTCAGCGCCAGCAGCGAGGTGTCTGACTTCCTTCCCGGGTCTCCTCTGCTGCCTGATCCACGTGTGGGTGCCCCTGTGCTCGCTCTGCCCGAGAAGGGGTAGTGTTGGAGCTCTCCTTCTTTCTGGAGGCTGTGGCGGGGTGGGCTTCTCCTGCATGTTCTCCTGAGCTGTTTCCCAGCTTCAGTGCAGGCTGGGGTCTGGGGGCGATCAGAGCATCTATGCTCCCTGCTTCACCTTGGGATGCCACTGAGTTACAGGGGTGCCCGTGACTCTGGCACACGGCAGTGTCTCTCTGCTGAGCCTCAGGCAGGCGGTGTTGACAGTAGAAAAGCAGGTTAGGGTAGGACCATCTGTGAACACGTGGGTGATATTCTGAGATCCCCCAATCGTCACGGAAGCTGATGTTAGCACTCACGATGCCTTTTATGGTGTGTGTGTGTGCGTGCTGGGGTTGCCATCGCAAAGTGCTGTAAACCAGGGGCTTACAACCACAGAAATGTGTCCTCCCCCAGCCCTGGAGCCCAGGGGTCTGAGGTGCAGGTGTCTCAGGGCTGCTCCCTCCACAGGCCCCATGGAGTCTCCTTCCTGCTTCTCCCAGCTCCTGGGGTCTCCAGGTGTCCCTGGGCTTGTGGCCACATCGCTCCAATCTCTGCGTCCGTCTCCACGTGGCTTCTCCTCTGCTGTGTTTTAAACTGACACCAGTCATTGGGTTTGAAGTCCAGTCGGACCTAGGACAATCTCGTGTTGAGAATCCTTCATGTAAAGACCCTTTTTCTAAAGCAATTACACTGGGGGGGGGGTAATTATTTTAAGGGGGCAGGGTTTGGGTAGTCAGCTCTTTGGAGTCATTATTGAAATTTGCCTGATTTGGCTCTGAACATAGCATCAACCTTGGTTCAGAAAATGCTTGCTTGGTGCCGTTTGTAATTTAATCTCCTGAGTGCTGTGTTGGAAGCTTGCAGATTTAACTTACCCCCTTTTAATAAAACCCAGCTGTCATTTCAGGCCGCCTAGTCACAGAGGTGGCCTCTGGTGAGCGGCATCTGGAAGGGGCGGGCCATGTGGGAATTGCACAGCAGGAGTCCCCAGGGGACTGGCTTCTGTGCCGTGCAGATGTCCCCACCGAGAGCCCAGTGACATGTACGCAGGTCACAGCAGAGGTGTGCTTGGGCTGTAGGTGCGGACCCTTTCAGGAGTTGCAGGATGGAAGGATTTGTGGTGGTGGTTCAAACGTGCCAGAACAGCCACGCTCCTTGGTAAAGATGAGACTGCGGCTTCCTTTGAAAGCGTGACGTTTGAGAAAGGTGTCACTACCTCTTAGCCAGAATAAAGACCAGTTTAGCCAAATTGAGATCCTGTTTGGCCTCTTTAATGGACGTCGCCCACCTCATGGGGCTTGACATAGATTCTTGCTTGCGGGGATTAGGTGTGCGCACCGTGGTGGTGATGGTGGTGGTGGGTCCCCGATTGCAGGCTCCAGTGTGCAAGGAGTTTCCCCAAAATCAACCCATGGTTCTTCCCCGACCTGGTGGCTGTTTGGTGGACTTCTCAGTTCTAGGAACCATAGACCAGGTGCGCTAAGGAAGGTCCTCTAAGGGCCACTCCTCCAAAAATGCCACACTTGAAACCAAAAACATGTTTTTTTCTTTTGCGCATTGGAATTGCTGCTGTGTAACCAAGAAGAAAGAGTGCTCTTGTGTGTCTGACAGGCATCCCAAACTATAGCTCACGGGCGACATGCAGCCCGCCGGGTGTTTTTGCTGCCGCTGCCTGTCCTGCTTAGCAGCCGACTCATCCTGGGGCCCGCAGTCTGGCCCTCCAACGGTCTGAGGGACAGTGAACTGGCCTCCTGTTTAAAAAGTTTGAGGACTCCTGGGTCCCTTCTGCTTTGTAAAAGCCAGCCACAAGGAAGGTGTGCCTATTGGGTTATGGCGAATAGCCTTGGCTTCAAAGTGCTTGGATGCCTGCCGCCCATCAGCTCCCTGGCAGGGCTCCCGCGCATGCCCGGGTCCCTTCTCACACTGTTCTATCTCACTCCTTCCTAGCAGGTCCCCACGAATGAGCCGACGCGTGGCAGGCGGGCTCCGGCGGGGGCAGCGATGGAGAATAGAGGGCTGGACGGCTCCCAGACAGACCTGAAGCTGGTGGCCCACCCCCGCGCCAAGAGCAAGGTGTGGAAGTATTTTGGCTTCGACACCAACGCCGAAGGATGCATCTTGCAGTGGAAAAAAATCTACTGTCGGATCTGCATGGCCCAGATCGCCTACTCCGGCAATACCTCCAATCTCTCCTACCATCTGGAAAAGAACCACCCCGAGGAATTCTGCGAGTTTGTCAAGAGCAACACGGAACAGATGCGAGAAGCCTTCGCTACCGCCTTCTCCAAGCTGAAGCCCGAGTCTTCCCAGCAGCCGGCGCCCGACGCGCTCACCATGAAGGCCGGACATGGCCACGAGAGCAAGAGGCAGCAGGAGCTGACGGCTGCCGTCGTGGGGCTCATCTGCGAGGGCCTGTACCCGGCCTCCATCGTGGACGAGCCCACCTTCAAGGCGCTGCTGAAGACGGCCGACCCCAGGTACGAGGTCCCCACAAGGAAGTTCATCTCCACCAAGGCCATCCCCGAGAAATATGGGGCGGTCCGGGAGGTCATCCTCAAGGAGCTGGCCGACGCCTCGTGGTGTGGCCTCTCCACGGACATGTGGCGTAGTCACAACCAGAACCGTGCCTACGTGACGCTGGCTGTCCATTTTCTGGGTGTCAGTTCCCCTAACTGCCTGTCCGTGGGCTCCAGGTGCCTGAAGACGTTCGAGGTGCCCGAGGAGAACACGGCGGAGACCATCACGCGGGTCCTGTATGAGGTCTTCATCGAGTGGGGCATCAGTGCCAAGGTCTTTGGGGCCACCACTGACTATGGCAAGGACATTGTGAAGGCGTGCTCATTGCTGGACATAGCGGTCCAGATGCCCTGCCTGGGGCAGACCTTCAACGCTGGCATCCAGCAGGCTTTTCAGCTGCCGAAGCTGGGTGCCCTGCTGTCACGGTGCCGCAAATTGGTGGAGTACTTTCAGCAGTCCACGGTTGCCATGTACATGCTGTATGAGAAGCAGAAACAGCAGAACATGGCGCATTGCATGCTGGTGAGTGACCGGGTCTTCTGGTGGGGCAGCACCTTGGCCATGCTGCAGAGGCTCAGGGAGCAGCAGTTTGTCATTGCTGGCGTGCTGGTGGAGGACAGCAACAACCATCACCTCATGCTGGAGGCCACTGAGTGGGCCACGATCGAGGGGCTGGTGGAACTTCTACAGCCCTTCAAACAAGTGGCAGAGATGCTGTCCGCCTCCAAATACCCCACTATCAGCATGGTGAAGCCACTTCTGCACATGTTGCTGAATACCACACTAAACGTAAAGGAGACAGATTCTAAGGAGATCAGCATGGCCAAAGAGGTGATTGCCAAGGAGCTGTCCAAGACCTATCAGGAGACCCCCGAGATTGACATGTTCCTGAACGTTGCCACCTTTCTGGATCCCCGCTACAAGAGGCTGCCTTTCCTCTCCGCTTTTGAGCGGCAGCAGGTGGAGAACCGTGTGGTGGAAGAAGCCAAAGGCCTCCTGGAGAAGGTCAAGGATGGCAGCTACCGGACACCGGCTGAGGACAAGATCTTCCCTCTGCCTGAGGAGCCTCCTGTGAAGAAGCTCACACTCGCCTCTACACCTCCTCCAACCAGTGTCATCAACAACATGCTGGCTGAAATCTTCTGCCAGACGGGTGG